TTTTTTTTAAATTTGTGAAAAGCTACCATCAGAGTGAGATTTTTGTTTTTAAGGTGTTATTCTGTGGGCATATCTTCAGAGTATAGAGAATCTAAAAAGCTCAGGAAAACAGAGTGATGCAGTTTTAGATTCCGAGGCTGTCGCTGATTTTGCATTCCTTGTATTTGTTGCTTTGGGGTGACAAGTACTGAATGGATGTCACTGTTTAGAAATGGCAGTAAGATTGTTTCTTTATCTAGAGTTGTTTTTTTTCCATACAGAGTGCATAATCTATCAAAGTTCTCACTAAGTTTCTGCATTATACTTGGAAAAACAAAACAGCCAAAGGCAAGCTTGAGCTAGAAACCCATTGTGGCATTGAGAAGAAACACAATAGTGAAATCATCTGTGGTAGATTAAACTGGTTCTAAAGATGAATCCACTATAACATTTATTTGTGGTGGGAAAGTAGAAGGATGAGCGCAGCAGCTACCCGTGTTGTATGATGTCTTTTTAGGTAGCAGATTATAAAGACTCAGGTAGACTTCTAGCAGGTGGGCTCATCGGTTACGGAGACGTTGTGAGATTTGGCCTGGGTTCTGCAGTGCTGGTCTCCTTGCCAGGAGAGATCTTGAATGAGTGTTGCTGATAGAAGTGTCTACCCCACCAGCAATGAATAAAGCACTCATCGGTGGATGAGTGAACGCTGTCTCAGCTTAATCTTGGGCACTGTAAACGTTACCCAACAGGAAAAAATCACTCTTTTGGGAGATTTTCCTCCATCTACCAACTATCAAAATCCAATTAGACAGCTTATCTGCTTCCTTCAAAAGAGCCTGTCCCCTGAATTCATCACTGTGGACCAAAATTGCTCTAAGTACCTAAGAGTCTGCAGGGTATTTGTGCCCCTAACTTGGACACTTCAGATGCCTAAAAGTAGTTGGGAAGGTTGCCTCTATATTTAGTTCTGGTGGTTTATAGGGAAATAGCTTCATGTTCTCGTTTTTGGGTTTTTCATTCCTTCTCTAGTCTTGGCCAGACAGGAGAGGGCATGATAGAAAGTAGGGCAGGGGAAGAAAAATGAGGTGTTCTGTAGAATCGAGCATTGGATGTTTGAGACAGGAGGAGATGATGCTGGTGAAGGCTACAACTTCATTTGATGTACAGTGGGAGAGATTAATAGAAAATGAAAATGCTTGAAAATGTTCAGGAAGGTGATTTACAGTAAGACTTTATCTACTTTAGTAGTGCGTCTCTGGCGGAGGCCTCCTAATGCTCTAGAAGGTGTTAAATCTGTTGTGAGTAACAGAACCATAGACTGGTTTGGGTGGGAAGGGACCTTTCAAGACCATCCAGTCCAACCCCCCTGCAGTGACAGGGACATCTTCAACCAGATCAGGTTGCTCAGAGCCCTGTCCAACCTGACCTGGAGTGTTTCCAGGGATGGGGCTTCTACCACCTCTCTGGGCAACCTGGGCCAGGGTTTCACCACCCTGATAAAAAACTTCCTTACATCTAGTCTAAATCTCCCCTCTTTTAGTTCAAAGGCTTGTCCTGTCGCTTCAGGCCCTGCTAAGAAGTCTGTCCCCATCTTTCAGAGAGGCCCCCTTTTAGTACTGAAACACTGCAGTAAGTTCTCCCCAGAGCCTTCTCTTCTCCAGGCTGAACAACCCCAACTCTCTCAGCCTTTCTTCGTAGGAGGAGATGGTCCAGCCCTCTGATAATTTTTGTGACCCTCCTCTGGAACCACTCCAACAAGTCCATCTCTTTCTTGTTGTTAACTGAGCCACTGAGCGTGGGAGTATTGGGATTTCTGCCAAACAAATGGTTTCCTAATCTGTTGGAGTAGCTGTATGTTAAATTGCACCGCAAACGATCTACGTTCCTTGAGTGAATCATCAGAATTTCTCATAGCTGTTTCTCTGTGAATCTCAAGTTTGTTGTATGTTGTTGCTTTCATGCACATTAATTGGTTTTTTATTGGCCTAAGTGATTCCTGGAGCTGCTGGTATTCTTGAATATGTCTTCAAATGTCTATTTGGGATGATAAGCCTGAGATGTATAAAGTAGTATTTCTTTGAACAACAACGTGCTGGCGCAGTTTCAAATTGCTCTATAGGCAAGAGGGTATCAAGATAAGGTTTTGAATGCAAGTGTTTAGGTTACCTCCTGAGCAGATACTGCTCAATAACAAATCCCATGATGCTGACTTAAGAAATGAGGTTTTATTTTAAAAAGGGAAGAAAAAACTTTTTCTTGATGCCAGTCACACTCTTCATTTCATGACTTGGAAATTGTCCTTCAGTTGATTATCTTTATTTTTGCAGGACAAGAACGCGAAATCATAGCAGATGATCTACCTCACCCATTCGGATTAACCCAATACAGTGACTACATCTACTGGACAGACTGGAACCTTCACAGCATAGAAAGAGCAGACAAGACCAGTGGGAAGAACAGGACACTTATTCAGGACCATCTGGATTTTGTGATGGATATACTGGTCTTCCATTCTTCACGTCAGGATGGCTTGAATGATTGCGTGCAAAATAATGGCCATTGTGGTCACTTGTGCCTTGCCATCCCAAATGGATTCAGGTGTGGCTGTGCGGCTCATTATACCTTGGATCCCAACAGCAGGAACTGCAGCTGTAAGCCTTTTTGTTTGCTACCGTATTCTTCCGTGCTTGTGGCTCCCAGGTCCTTGTGATCCCTCGCAGTATAGAAAGCGAAGGGATGGATATCACAGGTCCATTTCCAAAGGTTTTCGGCTTCAAAAGTGATCTTTAAACATGAGGACAGAGTGTGGAGTCTTATATCTATTTTTGTGGCATGAATTAGGGCTGGAGATTCATATTTCAAATCTTAGAAATAACAGCGCTGCCAAGTCTGGTCTTTCTGGTTTTGCTAGAAGTGCTTTCTAGGTGGTTCAGCTGTGTGACTGAAGCTTTCCCGGTCTTCACCTAAGTGTGTAGGTGGGTGGCAGAGAAATCCTAAAAAAAAAATAAAATATCTTTTTCTCTTAATTGTTTAATAAAGTCAGCAAAAATAACATCCAATAAAGCAGCCTGCTAAGTAGTCTGCACAACACAAGTGCACATGCACTTGAAATTCATATGTATTTGTTTTCCCCTGCATGTGATGAACCTGCCAGTTCACTGGTTGCCCAATAAGAATTTCAGTTTCTAGTAAAATTAGCGGATGAATAGAAAATTGACTTAAAAAAAAATAAACCAACAAAGCTTCTCGCACCCTGACACAGGAGCATATAAGGAAATTCTAACTAGATGAAAAGGTCTAAGAAAGGCAGGTCCTGCTTGACTAACCTGACCTCCTTCTGTGGCCAAATGACTCACTTAGTGGACAAGGGAAAGGCTGTGGATGTTGTTTACCTGGACTTTAGTGAAACATTTGACACTGTTTCCCACATCATTCTCCTGCAGAACCTGGCTGCTCATGGCTTGGTTGGGTGTACTCTTTGCTGGGTAAAAGAATGGCTGGATGGCCTGACCCGAAGAGTTGTGGAGAATGGAGTTAAATCCAGTTGACAGCTGGTCACAAGTGTTCCCCAGGGCTCGGTACTGGGGACACTCCTGTTTAACAAAGATGTTAAATCCACGATCTGGGCAAGGGGATTCAGTGCACCCTCAGTCAGTTTGCAGATGACACTAAGCTGGGTAGGAGCATTGATCTGCTGGAGGGTTGGGAGGCTCTGCAGAGGGATATGGACAGGCTGGATCCATGGGCCAGGACCAACTGCATGAGGTTCAACAAGGCCAAGTGCTGGGTTCTGCGCTTTGACCACAAACAACCCCCGGCAGCTCGACAGGCTTCGGGAGGAGTGGGGGCAGAGCTGCTGGGCAGA